TCAGCTACAATAACTATAACTCATCCCCGTTTGTGGCAACCTCTGGTGTCCCACAAGGGTCGAACCTTGGCCCACTCCTGTTTTTACTATTCATGGATGATATTACCGACGTTATTCGCTCCGAGAAGCTATTATTTGCTGACGATCTGAAAGTGTTTTCCTCTATATCCACAATAGAAGATTGTCATTTCTTACAACTTCAACTCGATAAATTGCAAGAGTGGTGCGATAGAAATCAGCTTGCATTAAATATATCAAAATGTGCTATTGTTTCGTTCAATCGAAGAAAGAATTGTATCACATTTGACTATACATTACAAAACAAAATAATCCAACGTTTAGGAGAATTTAAGGATCTTGGGGTCTTGTTTGATGCCAAATTATCATTTAAACCACACATTAATAAAATTATAGTTGACGCTTTCAAACTGGCTTGGTTTTGTGATTAGAAATTGTAGGCCATTTAAAAGCACTCTCGCTTTGAAAATGCTTTACTATTCGGTAATTCGGACTAAGCTCGAATATGCCTCAATAGTATGGCAGCCAATCTATAACAATCATACGAATGCCATTGAAGCTGTTCAGCGCAAATTTTATAAATATCTATTCTTTAAAAATCATGGAATATATCCTGAAAGAAACCTTGATCATCAAGCTCTGCTATCAATGTCGGGCATGGTGTCATTAGAACTGCGTCGGAAAGAATGTAGTCTTGCGTTCCTGTATAAATTGTTACAAGACGACATTGATGCACCGGATTTATTAAGAATGTTGAACTTTCATATTCCTCGAGGGAACTACCGTGGCAATAATACGTTTTATTTACCTACAGCCAAGACAAATTTATTAAAGAGGTCCCCAATATGCACAATTTGCAAAATTTGTAACATGCATGTTGAAAACTATGCTATAATACATATGAATAGTTCATGTATACGACATATTTTTTAGATTACTTATAGTTTACCTACATATGTTGTTTTTTTTTCTCTTCTTCTCTATTCTATTCGTATTTTTTATGATAATTGATAAGCAGTGTTTGCAGAGCTTCATGCCGATATGTTAATACATTTTCCTTCATATCGTATTTTAGTTTTTGGTTGGATAATGATTATTTTTTAGTTAATGCACACATATTGATACAGCTCCTTTTTTATATAATTCTATTTCTATTCAGTTAAAACATTAAGATTAAGTTTTATTTGTATGTTTATTCTTTGATTATTTTTAATTTTGTCATGGCCTGTTAAATGTATTTTGTTTTGTAATATGGCTTTGTCCAATAAGTGGATGTATATCTGTTGGGCAAATAAATATTATTATTATTATTATGGTCGGTGTTTCTTGTGAGAACTCAGGTCTAGCCTGGTTAACTAATCGCACGGATTAAAATCAAGTAACGATTAGTATCTGTGTCTGTGTCTGGTGCAGTGTTATGATGTAGGGTCCTTAAAAAAAAAACAAAAAAAAAACACGTGCATTGGCAATCTAGGGATAGTATGTAATTCATACTTACCAACATAGGTATTGATGGGCACAATAGCCACCGCTATCAAAAAAGAGGAAAACAAAACAAAACAGAATCATTATAATAATTCCTGTAATTTTATTAAATGGATTTTATTGTGTAAGTGTTTCTTTGGCTTTGCGTTTGGGTTGAATACGAGTGGGTTGTGATAACGGGGTGTGTTTCTGTGAAGAAGGAGTTTTGTGTTTTTTAACTGTGCTAGGAAGTGTAACTTTATTTGGTGGACCTGTCTTTGTGGTGCATGTTGCGTTACTTGTATTTATGGTGTTTCTTTGTTCTTGAGGTTGCATTTGTGAGGTTGCTTGGGTTTTTGGTGGGGATATTACAGTATGTTGTGAGCTAGTAGTGTTGTTTAGGTTTTTGCGCTTCGGTTGAAGACGTGTGGTTTGTTTCTGAGAAGAAGGAGTATTGTGTTTTTTAACTGTGCTGGGGCGTGTAACTTTATTGGGTGGACCTGTCTTTGTAGTGCATGTTGCGTTACTTGTATTTATGGTGTTTCTTTGTTCTTGAGGTTGTATTTGTGAGGTTGCTTGGGTTATTGATGGAGATATTACAGTATTTTGTGAGCTAGTAGTGCTGTATAGGTTTTTGCGTTTGGGTTGAATACGAGTGGGTTGTGATAACGTGGTGTGCTTCGGTGAAGAAGGAGTTAGGTGTTTTTTAATTGTGCTAGGGCGTGTAACTTTATTGGGTGGACCTGTCTTTGTAGTGCATGTTGCGTTACTTGTATTTATGATGTTTCTTTGTTCTTGAGGTTGTATTTGTGAAATTGCTTGGGTTTTTGGTGGAGATATTTTAGTATGTTGTGAGCCTGTAGTTCTGTTAAGGTTTTTGCGTTGCTGTTGAATACGAGTGGGTTGTGAAAATGTGGCGTGTTTCTGTGAAGAAGGAGTTATGTGTTTTTTAACTGTGCTAGGGCGTGTAATTTTATTGGGTGGACCTGTCTTTGTAGTGCATGTTGCGTTAGTTGTATTTATGGTGTTTCTTTGTTTTTGAGGTTGTATTTGAGAGGTTGCTTGGGTTTTTGCTGGAGATATTTTAGTATGTTGTGAGCCTGTAGTTCTGTTAAGGTTTTTGCGTTTCGGTTGAATACGAGTGGGTTGTGAAAATGTGGTGCTTTTCTGTGAAGAAGGAGTTTTGTGTTTTTTAAATGTGCTAGGGCGTGTAACTTTATTGGATGGACCTGTCTTTGTAGTGCATGTTGCGTTACTTGTATTTATGGTGTTTCTTTGTTCTTGAA